TTTTTATCCAGCTATTATCAATGTGCTGAATGTGCTTAATAGCACAAACACCTCTTTGAAGATTGAGGAGATCTTTCTCTAAATCATGTAGCTTTCCAAAGTAAACATTATTAAACTGATGATCTACATCAAGCAGGGTCATGTCTTCAGACTCTAACTTATCTAATAAAGACTGGCAGGCTTGAAGTACTGGTCTCCATACAAAAGAATCCACATTAGAAAAAGGTATTGGTTCTGAATGTGCATCAAGTCTTTCTTTCCAATACTTGTTAAAGAGATCATTATGGTATTTAAAAGAGATAATGTAGAAATCATCAAGATAAGTATCAAGTGGTCTGGAATCAGGAAAACAAACAACATTACAGCTACCATCAGATGTAGCTGTAACACATAAAGTGTTTATCCTTTCCTTTTGAAAATCTTTTTGAAGAGCTGCTATTAGTTCTGGCTGACCTATCAAAATGTAATGCATTATTCTTTCAAAAAATAAGTATCTAACCTATCAACTTCCTGCCAATTTGAGATAGAAAGTGCAATAACTTGCCCTTGTAGTCCTCAAAATGTTTAAACTCTTTTAAACGTTTTGCTATACTTTCCTGTAACACAGCTGGTTGAGAATTAGTACTAGCTTCACAAAGTTTGTTCATTTGAGTTTGTTTATCTTTTATTGCCCTCAAATCAGTTACTGTAATGTTTCCATTATGAATATTAGCACACACTGCATCCAAATTACTGATGGCACATGTCACTATTAATGCCCATTCACCTTCCTTTCTCCCAACTTGAGCATCTACAAAAACAAAAACAATCCAAGGTGCTTTACAAGTATTTACAAGTTCATAGTAAAGCTCTTGTAAAATGCTTTACAAGCTTAAGTCATGTACATATAGCATGCATGTATGCTGTGCATATTTAGTGTTTTGATTTCTGCATCTAACACCCTAAAATCTATGCTTTACTTTGTACACCCCTTTACACATTTCCATAGTGCATATAATGAAAAACTTTTACGGTCCAAAGGATTCATATAATAAAACTCACAAATTAGCATAAAAATAGCTAAAAAGTAAAAAATTTAAATTATCACGCAGGTTTGCTAAAATTCATACAATTAGCAATTCGGTAATAATAACAGTTGCGATAACAGCTTACTATAAACTTTCAAAAAGCCAGGCCATAATTCCCATTCCAAGAGGTCATGAAAAGGAACTTCTGCTTTATTTATAAAGTCTGGATACTTCTTTTCAAGAATTTTAGCAATCAAATTTACAACACGTGTCGAATTCAATTCAACTAACTGATCCCATCGTTGAATCTATTGTACAAAAATTATAGAAAGGCAAATATCATAGATGGCTTACTGATTGTTTTTTAGAAAATAAATCGTCTAATGCATCAATTGCTTTGGTCAAGAATATATTCCTAAAAAAGTCAGGAATTCCTTTCCGATGCTCAACACTGACAAAAAGATCAATCTTCAGTTCTGATGAAGGCACTCCTGCAACCCTATCATTAACAAGATCTCCAACTATCTTCTCTAACTCATTCTTCATTTCTTCACATGGAAATTCTAAAGCAAGAATATTCTCCCAAAACTATAATATATTAAATGAATGTAAAGTTAAGATACACATACAATGTATATACTTTCAACTCCAGGTTATCTTTCAATAAATAACTCTGATGACCACTAGTTTTAAATTTTCCACCGAAAAAAGACCCACCAATAACTTCACTGAGTACAACCCAGTCCTTCAGTAGGACTGTAACTTGTTCTCTCAAATTTTTGTACAAAGTATTTCTGTTGTCTGACTCTTCTTCATCATAAATTGTAACTCTGTAAAAAATGTGAATGAAAAGTGACACAGACAACTCTACTAGGGTTCTTGAAACATTAGAATAATTGAGTATCTTTTTAAAACTTTGGACAAGATGAACAGTAGCCTCGGAACATCGTCTAAAAAAGTTAAAGCTGCAAAGAATATGATCATCATTATAGCAAATAGACATGCAACTAACTCTTTTATATCTTCCTGGTAGATTCTTTTCATAATGCAAGCCATTGGTTTTTCAAAACAATGTTCCTTCTATAAAAGTAAATAATAATAATAATCAATATTATTTTATAATACCAAATTGTCACTAATAAAATGAGAGCGAAGACTGTATGCATGAGAAACTTGTAAGCCAAGTCTCTCAATAAGCCACACAATAGCTAATTCAATTGGTAATATTTCACAAAGAAGACTGGTTTCCTTTTGTGGACAAATATAAGGAATTAGAGTCAACATTTTTGAATCAAATTGAAATAGCTCTTTAATTTCATCATAGTGCTTTTTGATAAACCTAAAAAATTTAAATTCAATTAATGCCAATGGTCTCTAAATCTTACCCTGTTTTAGTTTCTAAAAGAATTTGCAACGATAGTAATGAACTGCTACCCCAAATTACTCTATCCAGTGGAAAATGTTTTGGCTGATTTGGTTTTGAGAGATCACGCAAAAAATGCAGTAAAGGAAATGATCTGAGAACAGTGAATATAGAATCAAGGCTCCTTAGTTCACCTATTATCTTTGAATGATGATTAAAACCATCAATAACAACTTCCCTATACATTGGAGCAAGATATAAATTGAATTGTGTAGTTTTGCAGTTCATTATTAAAGTATAGCTAAATCTACTTGTATCATTAAAACTATTTACAAAATTAATTAATAAATTACCGTAAGCGTAAAAATTATTGTGGCGGATAAATTTTCTTTTTTTCCGTGGGTGACACAAATCCACGAAATTTTAATGCAAGGGTGTGGTGGTTAGTTCAATAGGCCACGTGACAGCCACATGCACTGATCATAAATGTTACTCGTCTCTCTTTCACACTTCAGCATCTCTCCTTCCTCTGCTTCCCAGATCTCCTTATATACATGGTAGCCCCTGATAACTGAAAAGATAGTGAAGGTAGGCATCTCTGCAGGTATTGCCATGTCACCACGTGGTCAATAAATTAATAAGATTGGGTAACACCTACCACGAAATTTTTAATGCACAAAAATTATTTTTATGGAAAAATTCCAAAAAGTCGAAATTTACACCACAAAATTTTTTATGTTTACGGTATTACTTTTATTATTTACGTAACATCAGTATACAATAATTTATTTATGATCAATATTTTTATCTTATTAATTTTTTCATTTTACTACTTAAAAAAATGATAAAATTCAGTGCACAAATATGCAATCTACATGTACATGTACATTCCAACATCCCACACATGCACAAAATTAGATTCTACATATATGTACATAAAACTTGATCTGTTAGCTGAAGACAAATAATACAGCATAAATCCAACAATAGTATAATTTCCAGCTACTAAATATTGAGCATTTAAATCAATTGTGGCAAAGGCAGGTTATGTGTACAGTACACTATCACAATTCACTCAAACCACATCAAAAAGCTTTCATTAAAATGTGATATTTTGACTGCAATCTATAATCAGAAACATGTAATTAATGCAGCATATGGCACGATTAAAAAGAGCCAAGTTATAAGTAAATAAGAGGGCTAACTTTTCTTCAGATTGCCTTATCATGCTCAATAAATCATCTAGTTCTTTTTCCCCATCAGTTACAGAAAGAGTCATAACTTGAATTAATTTAATTTTATATTCTTCCTTCATATCAATAAAATGAGTCTGTTTCAAGCTCTTTAGACAACAGGCAAGGATTAGACCAGATGCCAAGCGATGACTGCAAGACTGTAACAAAAATAATTCTGAAATCATTTTCTCGAACCATAACTTCACATACTGCAATGGAAAATGAATAATAATGCAATAATTGTTTCTATATAAATACTTACATGATCCAGTCCATGAACAGGCCATCTTTGAACACTCAATCCTTGTTCAATAAATTGAACATAAATATTTTCAAATAATCCCAAAATTCCATCAATCCCATCTTGAATGGTAAATTTTGCTTCAAAATTTCCAGTTGTAAACAATTTTCTTGTTGGTTCTAAGTGAATTTCCATACATTTTGAACGCATAATAACCGGAGATGGAACAGTAATGGTGTCTAAGTCATCTGATTCTTTCTTGTTCCAAAAGGACACATAATTCAACATTTTCTTAACAGTACCAATTTCTTCTT